GGAGTTAAACACGTAACTTCAGCACCATATCATCCAGCCACCAACGGCTTAGCAGAAAGATTCATTCAAACCATGAAACAATCTTTGACTTCAATGAAGGAAGACCTTGGCTCCACGTAGACCAAACTATCCAAATTCTTAATGAAATATAGAAACACACCACACAGCACGACTGGTGAAACACCAGCAACTCTCTTCATGGGACGAAATTTACGCACACGGTTAGACTTGATCAAACTGGATATTCGAAAGCATGTTATAGAGAAACAAGTCAGCCAAGCCAAACCCAAAGGTGATATTGCTGGTAATGCAGTTAGTGTCAGAAATTACAGAGAGAAGGAAAAGTGGATTCAAGGAATTGTGCGTGCTCGAACCGGACCAGTGTCATACCAGGTCGAGATTGCACCAAATGTTATCTGGAGGAGACACATCGATCAATTACTTGCCTCGGAGAACATAACAAACGACACTCAAGATCTCGAACCAGTTACAGATATTCCAGGTTTGGCAAATGAAAATAATGCTGAAGACGAAACAGCCGTGGACATACAAGACCAGCAGGAGACTTTAGAACCAAATCAAGAAATGGATGAAGTAGAACAACCTGAACAACGATATCCTGTCAGAATTCGGCATCAACCAAATAGGTTAGGACTTGATAATCAGTAAAATAGTACTTGTTATGTATATGGTGCGAACATATTACGGACGCCATAAAAACATTTATATTTTGTTAACAATGTTACGTGGGGAGAGATGTGGTGTATGACCCATGATGCTTTGGGGTGATCACCACGAGGCATGGATAGTTGTTTTGAACATGATATTAAAAACACAATGAATATCGAAGAACACTTCAATGTTCGTATGCATATGTTCACGATTTTCTTTTTTTATGTATTTACTATACTTGGCATCACATTTAAGGCTACTTGCCATCGAAATTTTCAGAAGATCGGCCAAAAACTCCGAGGGTACTCAAGGATAAATTGACGAACTTGACTTTATCATAATCTGCTTCCTGCTCATTGATTAGATCACGGTACTTTTGACGCTTACGATTGGCGTTAACTTGCAGATTGGATTCATAACCGACTGTAAGCTCGAGGATGTATAGACATCTGTTTTCAGTCACCAGCAGAAGGTCAGGTTGTAAACGATCTCCCGTGATAACAGATGGATTCATAAAACCAGGAATGTCCGCGTAATCCCCGACCCGGCGGCGCGAAGCGCCGTGCGAGAGTACTAATTCCCCCCCGGCTATTTACACCCGGGGAAACGAAAGCATTAGGGAAGTCTAAAGTTCATCAAATATCGCGGGCGTGGGTCACTGTGCGGGTTCGGTGGGTGGTCATCCTCACTGATCTCAAAAATATGGCGGACTGTCATGAATAGCGAACACCGATTGGTCAAATTTAAAATTTGTTGTTGTATGACGAATGACGACTTTAACTGACAGATACTTCATGAAAATATTTTGCTTTCTGCGCTACAGTTTTTTGTACATTTGCAAAAACATTTGGCAGCTTTAAAAGCAATTAGCAGTTTTATTAAAACTTTTATCAAACAATTACGGTATCAAATACCAATTGAAAAGATATGGAGCCAAATGATGAGCGGCAAGGAAACGACAAGAAGGCCGAGCGTCTAGCGAAAAGAAGCAGTGCCTTTTTAACGATATATCTTGGGGGGGGGAAATTATTTGCACCACCAGTAAAGCCATTTCTGCCCCCGAAGTGCGAAGCAGAATTGCTCGATGATTGCTGTCAGAATTGCAGTTGATTTACTTGATAATGACATTATGCTCTTCCATAGCCTCCTCCACAGCCATCTTGTGTGTAATTCATATTGTTCTTCACCAAGTATTTCATAATAACGATAGATTTCATGCAAACTATCCGATAAAATGCTAGCCTTTCCAAGCCTTGCGACTATTTCCTAGCACTCTCCTCCGCAGAGGCGTTGTGTTTTGTTTTGGGAGGTTTTATTGCAATATTGTTTTTTAAAAATATCAAGTTATATTAACAGCCCCCCCCCCCCACAATCGCCACAAAAACCATTCTCTCAGAAAGGCTAAACCCGTAGAGAAATTGGGGGGGGGGGGGGGGGG